AAGTTCCATGGAGAATTTTTAACAATTTTTATAAGAATCATAACGAGATTTAGGGGGACTTCCAGGAGGAGGATTTCAGAAGCCTTAGTTGAATTTTAAGGGAATTTCCTGAAAACAAAAACGTGAGAATTCCTAGATGGTTCTATTTAAGTTTCCAATCTGAGATTAAACTCCAAGGAGGTTATTAGGAATATTCCAAGGATAAATTTCCAAACGGTAACTTTTAAAAAGGATTATGGAGATAAATTAAAATGTATTCACGTGTACTATTGAGAATACTAAGGCAATTGTAGACTGAATTCTAAGTGATTCCTAGAGAGGATTTCTAAAGTGGCTACCCTGGAGTGATCCTGTGATCGCTGTAATTTGATGTCCATACAATTACTTAGTGTTCGCCGTGGCGTCTCTAAGGTTACCTTCATTGCTGATATCTTACGGTCGGCAATCAATGTCCGGCTCACTTCTACAGCAGTTGAGTGTCAATATCAAACGAGTAAATTTAGATTCTTAATATTTTTCAACATCTCGGCTTCTCGTACAAATTACGGTGCTAATGAGCCTTTAAATAGCATGTGCAAGATTTTCAACAAATGTTATAGCTGATACAGGATACAGGATGTGGTAAATAGCATTTCAAACACTGAAACTTCTAACAGTTGTTAAGAGTTCATGCTTACAAAATAATTGAGATCCAGGTCTAAGAAAACTCTCCAGAAAGGAAAGTCGGGGTGCAAGTTCAGACAACCAGAAGTCGTATAACAATGAACAGATAAACTCGTAATTTGCTGAGGCATAAAATCTTTGGTCAGGGAAATAAAGCCGTTGGTCTCCCGGTCCATGAGTTGATGGGTCGATAGGTAGGGTAAACACCGTTTGAAAAATTCATGTAAAATTCTGCGAGATATAGCGCACATAAAATTAACGCTAGATTTGGCATAAATTTACGCGATATTTTGTGTAAATTTAAGCGCAATATAGAATAATTTAGCAATATTGTATGCAAGCTTGTAAACGATTTCGCTGTTTATGCTACACCCAACCGGTGCATGTAAGATTCGCTTACAATTATGTGGGATTCATCATCAGAGGATGTAAGTGGAGACCGCATGAACCGAGGATGCGATATACCTAGCTGCGGTCCAATGCAAGAAAATTGGAGACCGAAAAATGTAGAGTGTATTAGTGAGGTAAATTAATTATGTCGAAAAAAAAAATTGGAAAAAGGTTGCCGACTGGACTCGAACAACGAACGTTGCGACCTGTGCTTTCTCCACTACTCTCTCCATGCTTCTGAATAAGGATAGCCTAAAAGCAAACAAGAAGCGCTTATTTCCTCTCACACTCGACTTCGTATGCTTTTTCTGCTGGAGAGATTCGAGGCAAGGGTGTGCGTCGTTCTACCATGTTATACATAAAAATCAAGGCAAATGCTTGCTTGTGTAGGTGAAAGCACAGACAAAACACGAAATAAAAAAGGCAAAAAACCATAACATCGCCTGCAAGGTGAACTTCTAACATTCGCTGCGATGTTCATGAACAGAGGATGATAGGAAATGGAACTAACAGTCATTGTAATAGATTTTTGGTTTGCGTGTAATGATAGCTCAAAATCAAACGAAGGGAGATTTTGCGCGATGGTTTAAATTCAGAATTTTTTTCTGTGCAGGTGGGGGAGTTGCCTCTCGAAGTAATCCCGAAATTCACAAGAGAAGATGACGACGGCATACCAATCCCCGATAATTTCAAATAATATTGGTAGATAAACAACAGAGATAGTCGAGTATTATCACAAGACACTGAAGAAGTCTGCACATTGTAGATGAAATACGCAACAGATAAGCGAATAAGGTGGTGGAATCAAATGGCAATTACTAATCCTTCTTTCTTTATACAGGTATTCCGCTAAGACACCCACATTTATCAGAATTCAACAGAGATACATCATTAATATTGATGGAAAGATTTGTGATAGTTCCATTGTTCTGAAACTTACTGATTTGTTCCAAGTTCTCAAGCTCAAACGAGTTTGATCGTAGCGTAACCACGAATTTTGTAAATTTCAATTGTAATATTACATTTCAATTAAATACTGCATTTCCAGATTTCAATTACAATATAAAATTTTAAAGTGCAAGCACTTAATCATTCTGTACTGGTAATCATACTTCAAAATATGTTGCTATTAACAGAGGAAAACAAGATAAAACTGGGCGAATTCTCAAAAAAAGGAAGATTTCAAACTTTAACTTTTTGAGTGTGTTGATTTATTTCCTTTTACTTTCGTTATAATTGCTTATCTTTTGACAGATACGCGTATTTCGTATACTACTTGCAGATTTCATCAGTGCCAAATACTAAACACGGGGGAGACCCCGGCGTAGTGGTTAACATCCATACCTCTTACGGCAAAGTCACGAGTTCAAATCTCACCCCCGGACAAGTCACGAATGACCCAAGAGTGTTAAAGTGACTATAATAAAAAAAAAAAACAAAAAAAAACAAAAAAAAAATACTAAACACCAATAATTGGCATTAACTAAGTCTGCAAGTAGTAGACGAAATACGCGTATCTATCAAAAGATAAGCAATTATAAAGGAATGAATAGGAAATAAATCAACACATTACAAAAGCTCTTCATAAAGGGATTCCGTTAGAGGTTCGACAAAATTAAACAGATTAAACTTTAACTGTTTGGCTGGATGCGTCCAAAAAACTGGAAGAATCCAGTTTAAACTGAAATTTTGGCATCACTGTTCTGTACATCATAATACACGATAAAGAGAAAATTGTGATAATTTTTCCTAAAAATTGCCATACAAAATTCGCGCCATTGACATGAATCTTTAATGTTTCCACGATTTTGACGGCTGGAATCCGCAACAAATCCGTAAAAGTCGTGAAATCCGCGAAAATCGCGAAATTTGCGGAACCCGCGCCTGTTGTAACAGCCTTGCAATTGAAGCATACTTAATCAAAAACAACTTCAAACACAACGATAATGCCGACAAGCCAACTTCAAAAATTAAAAAGAAAAGCATTTCACGTAATCGCGAATAGTCTTGGACTTCAATCAAAATCAAATAAAAATCTTGATATATCGATCAGTGGCACAGCCAGGATTTCTGTCTGGGGGGTTGAATGTATTGAAATACCAGTACCGGCATCCTGGGAATCAATTTCCACTACTTTCACCAACAATCACGTTTCCCAATTCTAAGGAAGTTATTTTGATTTAGTGTTAAAAAAGGCATGCTAAATACACATTCTTTCCGGAAACATTCTATATATAGCATTCCCGGGAAATTAACTCTGCGACGAACTATCAATAAATTAAAGGAATTGCAGAGGTTGGAAAGATCTTCCAAAGCAGTCAGAAAAAAAAAACTTTCGGAGAAAGTTAGAAGTAACTCCCAGAAGAAGACAGACAGAATCGCGACATCCAAGCGGGAAGAAATTTCCACTGCAAGTCACCGATTTCTCTCGGATGAATGCTAAATCTCGCAACAAACTATACCAATGGTAGAGCAATCGAGATTAGCTTTTATTCGAAAGAAATCGGCGATTGACGAGCTTTTTTTTACAAAAGCCTAATACAACCTAATCACGGATCCATCCGGAATAGTTTTTTTTTCCTCTATTTGTTTTCCGTCGATCTTGTTTTCCGTAATGCTACCGACGCCGGGAAGGCAGCTCCCACACCTGGACCGTACCTATCGACCCATAAGTCCGGTATCGTGATTATATATATACAATTTTCATACAGATATACCCCTGAAAATATGAAAACTTAAGATTTTTGGATTGATTTAAATTATTACTTGTAGATTATTAGAGTTTATCAGAATTAACGTAAAGCTTATAATTACTCTGAGTGAACTAATAAACATCAAACATTAGACACATAAATTACCGGTTTTCAGTTTTAAACCGGTATTTCGGAATTACCGGTAAAACCAGTTTCGGCAAAACTGGTTAAACAGCCCAAATTTCAGATTACACCGTAGGGATAAGATCTTTGATTTGTTTTCCAGATTACTGCTGCTAGGATTTGACCTATCCAAAGTTGCTGCTAACTCATTGCTGACAATTTATTTTGCAATGTTTATTATGTCTAAGACAAAACGATGATATGTCGACTCGATCTCTAATCTGAATACCACATCGATGTGTAATAAACACACTCCACCCAAGTGTATCAAACTATTTAGGACACTTACCGCGCTCTACACGTGTACATTGTTCACGGAACTGCGTCGTGCCGTCTTGCCGACCCCAAGGAAGATTTGCAGCAATTATCACTGAACGGAAGGATAAACATCCGACACACCTAAACAGTCCCAGTCTAGCCCCGTTTGTTGCCGTTCCGAGCTCTCATTTGATTTTATAAATATTTAAATGAAGATTAATGGTAATTATAGCCGTGCAAGTTCGAATTGGCTAATTAAATACGGTTTAGAGCGGTGGCAGGGTAGTACAAACAAAAGTAAAGGCGACGCTGATCACGACACGATGTCATAAAATTATATTTTCAAGCTGTCAAAGATAAATGGCGGTAAAGGGCAGCAGTGAAAATTTTCCATTGCTTTGAAAAAAAAAATAGCAGGTAATGTGTGAATTTTGGATTGGAAGCAACATTTTACGTTTTAAACAGGCGTCGAAGATGGTGCTTCCAAGAATGCGATGCTTGTTTTCCATACAGACTTATAGTCGTCGACGACGACGACGACGGAAGCAATGAGTTCATAATTGGATTAGCCAATGTTTGTGTTGGTGGTAGAATTCATGCATCGCCGCGTAAATTGAAATTGCAAACATTTGGTGGTTGTTCCACTTATTATTTTAAGGGGATTATTCGCGCTCTGGGAAAAGGTGGAGTGATTTCCTCTTGTGAAATGAGAAAAGCATTTTCTCCAGTTAATCCTGTTTTACGAGCAACCTATAGCGGGGCTATTCCGGTGAAAGGCGTCAGTTTGAATGAAAATACTTTAAAAGGACTTACCGGACATAAAATGTAGCAGAATAGCTGTTATGGGATACAGCGTGGGACTGTAGGTGATGTCGGGGCACGCGTAGCCGAGAACACTGACAACCCGATCTGCCACCGCCCGACCTTTCCGCGTTAAGTGATATGGTAGACAGTGGGTGGAATCGACGAAGGGCGGTAGCATGATGGGTTTCTCGGGTAGTTCTGTCGTGCCAAAGACCTGGAATTGAACAAGCACATTTTTCCTTACTCTTCAGCTTATTTTATCAACTGTGTACAATGGAACATACCTGATTCACCATATCCCAGTAGAAGCCATCCAGCATCGTTTTGCCGACGTGGTGCTGAGTGCAGAGCGCCGGCCATAGCTGCGATCGGATCGGCGAATTTGTGGGCCACGAATTTTCCCTTAGCACTAGTTTGGCTTCACGTTTCTTACCCTGCTGTATGAGTGATTGCACATCTTGAAATGTTTTTAGGTTTGGTTTCTTCCCTGAAATTGAGTGGAAAAAAGAAAAAAAAAATTGACAAGGGTTGAAAATCGATCGGTTATCGAAATGGATTATTCACGTAATTAATAGTCATTTTTCAACCACACTCAGTCACGAACGTTCGCACACAAACTGCTGCAGCAGTCGTTAACCTCACTCAACTTGTGATGTCAGAGGTGTTTACACAAAAGGGGGCAACGGACGTCGAGGTAGGTTCAGGTACAAATTTACAGGAACAACAACAAACTGCATAATGGACGAATCAACGAGTGGGTGACGTCCCCAGCGCCCCAACTGCCGACGATGAGCCTCAGTCTACAGAATAGCAATGCGTCATAACAGAATCGATCCTAGCCCACACGTTATGTGACCAGTTGGAGTATAAAGGGATACGGTATATTACGCGACTGAATGCAGAACACTTAAATGATTGGAAGTTCATGCAACAATTGCCTACATGCCTTGTAGAAATGTGCATGGATGGAGCTCTTATCGTCATTGAATGCCTGATGACCCCGTTTAGTAGAGTCATCGACCAAGTAGTGTATTTCATACGCAATCTACCGTTCCCCATAGATTACTCTGGAAACGTTCAAAGGATCAAAGGCTTACACACTTCCAGCTCGTTTCCCTCTAAAATAACGCGTGGAAACTTACTTTGAGGCTGCTATTAATTGCTGTTGAAAGTTTACCGCTATAGATTGATTAGCTCTAGAGCAACTATCAAGCTATGATTGATATAATTGGTACTTGAGATCGACCGCGAGCTTGATTACCTTCAACGTGTGATAAAAGTCATGTGTGCTACCGTGCGCACACGATAGACCTTTTCCATCGAAGTGTTTGGATGATTGTTTTAATCTAGTTTGAGTTGTTATGCTCGAAAAACGAAGGCAATTAGCTTCCGATGGATTACAACTAAAACGGTCAACGATTATTATTTTCAAGCGTTATGGGGAAGCATGGCGTGATTTAAAGTAACATAGTGGATAAAAGAACCATGTGTGTCCATGGTTTTTCTTCAAATCGAGTTGTGGGTGATTAGATGAGTATTCTTTAAGGTGACAAATTTTTCAACTCATATCCACGTCCTAAAAATAGGGCAATATATAGTTGTTTTGTACACATGGCCATGAAGGACATTTTACTTCAAGCTTTGCTTGAGCTTGAGCTTGAGCTTGATTGACCGCCCACGGTTGCTACTCTGTTATTGCCAGATCAGCTGTAATTACACAGAGAACCAATAGACGATGCTTGGGACTAGCAATCATCCTCAATGTGTAAAAACTGGTGATCTTAAATTAGGCAATACCAGCGCCGGCCGCGCCCGAACACAGGTCAAGAAAGGAATGGGAAGGATTGTGTTGACATGACACTCGCTTTGATGGAAGCCGAGAACACCTCTGCACTTCCACGAGGAATCACTGGGATGTTGGATAAGAGGGTTGGGTTTGCAGCAGGGTTCGTTTTGGTAAACGATAAGCTGAATTGATTTCCTAACGATCATATAACGCGAAGGAGCTTGGGACTAAACCCACGGTCTTCGGCTCAGTAAGCAAAAACGTTTGCCACTAGGCAGACGAGCACCTTTTTAATCACCGAGTTGCTGTTATTACCATGTAGTCATATTAACAAATAAAACGATTGACGAATCTTGAATGTGGATGGGCCTGAGATTAGACTCATGATGTTCTGCTCAGTAAGCAAAACGGTTGCTCTAAGGCCACCAAGCCCCTCATATCACATAATACCGTTGCTCAACTTTTTGTATCCCTTCAAACCCGGAACCAACGACAACAACGAGTTTCGCAAAATACACGATACACAAGCGATTTTACCATAAATCTCTTTGATATGTAAGGACCTGGGACCGCGTTTTTCTGCTCAGTAAGCAGGCCACTGTAACCGACGATCTTTCAAATCCGAAAACTAAAAACTATGAAAAAGTACTTAGGCCTTCATTAAGTTGCACTTTCACGCGACGTTCAATGACAGGGTCCTATCCAGGATTATATCTGAAAAATCCAAATCTGGCCAACGCCCACCTAAACCTGTTCTAATCCACCTGAAATGACTAACGAATGGAAGACTTTGACTACCCAGCCATGCAATAGTCTCACTCCGTGCCTTATGGCAACTTGATGATTCTATTGCGCTCATCTTTTGGCACCACCCAGGGGAGACTTGGTCCTGTACCCAATGCTTAACTTATCTCCATTCCACTCAGCTACTCGCAATTTCTTGTGATATAGTGGGCGGAATATTATTATATGAGACAATTCAATGCAGACGTCTTTCCAAATTTGGCAGATCGACAGGTAATCGGTGAGTTACCACGATAGTCGCTATTCAACAACTCGCAACGTCCCATCGTCAACGCCTGCTATGAGAATTTCCCATTGCAGACGCTACCGAAATGATGTCATCGAGCTATCGATCAACTACCCTGGTTATCGCCTGGTACCTTATAGCACGATGCTAGGAGGCGAACCGGAAGAATCGATGAGCTACCTCCCCCAACATTTTACTTCAAGCTTTGCGACTTAAAAGTCTCAGCTGTGAAAAACGGCGTTAGAGATGCAGGGCTGTTACAACATTTTCAAAATTTAAACTGCGAAATCCGCGATTCCTCAAAAGAAATCCACGACTTCAAATACTAATCCGCGACAAATAAAAAAACTGTTATCATTGCTTAAAAATACCATTTGCATTACTACTACATGACATTCCAAGCTTATTACCTATACCTTATTAACATTTTGTCTGCTACCAACTTTTAAGTGAGAGCTTTTTATGCCTGTACCATCCTAATGCCCAAGAAATTCGAGACATTTTTAACCCGAAAAGTTAGTTTTTCAAGGGGAAGTTTACCGCTCCGAAAAAAACTGGAAAAAGATATCAGATGTTTTCGACCGAAATTGATACCGAAAGTGTTTAAAAGAACGTGTTTCGCAGTTGGGTGTGGTGAAATTCGTGCATTCCCGGTTGATTTTCAGGTGAGATTCCGTATCACAAAATTGCTCACCGATCTCCTTTTCTTTTTTTTTGCCGTTCGAAGACGACGGGTTTGCTTTCGCGAAAGTGACATTTATTGGATCCGTTTAATTGCACGAGTGTGTTTTTTATAACCAGCGGTGTGTAAGTGTGTTTGTGATTTTCATTGCCTACCGGGAGGCCGGTTCACTGTGTTCTGATGTGACGCTTTCGGCGTGTAGTTCTATCGAGATTCTCGTTACCGTGTGCGAGTTTGAACTAGGTCCGGTTGGTAAATTAGCTGGGGAAGTGCTGATAATGTGTCCGTCGTGAGATTTGGTGGTTTCGATGGTATCGCTGGATACGCAAAAGACTGGACGGATGATAGCAGGTGGACGTGAACGGTTCCTGACGCGGACTAGACGCGAACCTCCTCCCAGAATTACCATGGAAATGCAGGAAGTATTACAACAAAGGTAATTGCTATTAGATATTTTTGCAAACAGTGACAGGATAGCAGACATGAAGCTCAAGTGGAGGTGCCGGGCAAAGGTGTTATATCCTGGATAAATGGTAAGTTACAAATTCGCTGTTCGTATTTTATCGTATTAGTGTATTTAAAATTTACCATCAACCGCTGAAACTATATGAATTATCGCATATTTCTGTTGTGCATTACATACCAAGTGAAATTCGAGAACGTAATTTCATTTAAATACCTTGTTTAACCAGGGTATTGCCTGAACCATGCATAAAGAGCAAATCGAAACATTGAACGTCGCGTGAAAGTGGAACTTAGTGAAGGCCTAAGTACTCTTTCGTAGCTTTTAGTTTTAGGATTTGAAAGATCGTCGGTTAGTGGTTTGCTTACTGAGCATCCAGATCCTTTCATATTGAAAATGTATGGTAAGATCGGTTATTTATCGTGTATTTTGTAAAACTTTTCGTTGTCGTCGGTGCCGGCTTTGAATAGTTGTAACAACTTGAGTAACGGTATAATGTGATATAAGGGGCTCGGTGGCCTTAGAGTAACCGTTTTTGCTTACTGAGCAGAACACCATGAGTCTTATCTCAAGCCCATCCACATTCAAGATTCGTCAATCGTTTTATTTGTTAACATGACTACATGGTAATAACAGCAACTTGATGATTAAAACGGAGTTCGTATACCGTGAGTTCAATCCTAAGCTGCTTCGCGTTATATGATCGTTATGACATCAATTCAGCTTATCGTTTACCAAAACGAACCCTGCTGCAAACCCAATTCTATTACCAAATATCTCAGTGATTCCTCGTGGAAGTGTAGAGGTGTTCTCGGCTTCTATCAAAGTGATTGTCACGTCAATACGTTCTTACCCCTTTCTTTCTTGACCTGTGTTCGGGCGCGGCAGGCGTTGGTATTGCCTAGTTTGAAATCACCAGTTTTTACAAATTGAGGATGATTGCTAGTCCTAAGCATCGTATATTGGTTCTCTGTGTAATTACAGCTGGTCTGGCAATAACAGAGTAGCAACCGTGGGCGGTCAATCATGCACATGCTCTTGAAATCGTTTGTGGAAATAAAGATGTTAATCCAAAATAACATAATTTTTAACGCAATTAGAAAACAGCATTAGAAATTACCCAAAAAGTTCTGGAAAAACCTGCAAAATTCGAGAAATTTTATTTAGCTAAATGAGTAGACATCCTGCATAAGCAGTTAAGCGCTGCAAATTCATTTGTCTTAGTACCTTTATCTTAATTTACTTTTAGATAACCAATATTTTTAAGGCCACTTGGCCAAACGTTATTGAGCTGAATGGGTCATTAGATCGAATTGTAAAGAGTGAGAGATTGAATTAAAAAGGCTATAACTTGATACAAATGAGATCTAGGGAAAGTTGTTCAAGAAATATTTCTAGATTAATAGGTTACGTCATAGGGGGGGGGACCTCAACTTCAGATTTATGAAGCGACACAACTCAAAAGTTCTGATCTCTAATGAGTGGAGGCTATGGCCTATGCCAGTGGTTCCCAATCTTTTCAGCTC